TGGCCGAACTAAAACAACAAAATTGTAACATTCAGGCTACCAGTGATGAACTAGAAAAGTCTATTAAGTTTATGTCTTCACAATATGAAGACATTAGAGGTAAACTTCTCGAAATGGAACGCGAACGCACGGAAAACTTATCTTACATTATAACACTTGAGAACAAAATAGAGGATATGCAAAAAAAGCTTAAGTCCACAGTTATCGAGTTCCGCAATCTACCTCAGCAGGTAAAGGATGAGACACAACAAGACCTCTGTGAACTTGTACAAAAGACTTGCAGTTCAGTCAACACTTCAATCGAGTCTTCCGAGATAAGAGACATATTTAGACTTACCACTAAGTTGGGCACTTCTATAGTTGTAACTGATTTAACCACTGTTCTGACTAAAAACAGGATATTGAGTGGCGTAAGAGAATTTAACCAGACTCACCCCAATAACAAATTATCTTCACTAACAATCGGACTCTCAGGTCCCACAAAACCGATTTATGTCGTAGAGAGTCTCACAAATAAAAACAGAAAATTGTATTCCATGGCTCGTGAAACGGCAAAAACCTTGGACTATAAATATTGCTGGAATAAAAGTGGTAATATCTATATGAGGAAGAATGACGGTGATACACGATTGGTGATTAGAAAGGAAAGTGATTTAACCATTCTAAAGAAACAATGACTGGGTGAAATATTTTTATTCCATTGCATGTTTTTTACATTATTACAATACCGTAAGACTGAGTGTACCGCTTGCCTTACGTTCTCTCTAGTCGTACGACCGCTTATCTATTGTATGTTACGGTCGTTTGTATATTTACCCACATTTTACTTTTATATTTTCATATTTAAGTTAAATCTATATAATTATACTAAAATACTAAACACTTACATTTCACACGCACAAAAACTAAACAGACACACATGTGTACATTGCTCCAAATTACTCACATTATTTACACAACTACAAATGCGATGGTTGATATGGTCAGACTGCAATTGTTTGTTTATTTACCTACAAGTTACTTTAATTAATATAATCGCTCATTTCCTATTTCAGTCTAGTGAAACTCCCTATATATTAGGTGCACATAACTTACATATATTAGATGTACACACTTTAATTACTATAATCGTTCTTTTTCTGCTTAAGTCCAGTGAAACACCTTATGTATTGGGGGTACATATGGGTGGGATGTGTTCCGGTAAGTTATTTCGTAAACTATACTATACCGACAGGTCTGCGTTATTCAGTGACGGGTATCAAATGTGCCCGAACTATAATATGACCATGCTGAGTTGTACGCATTATTTGTTAAATAATACGATAGCAACTAGCTTTAGTCAACAAAATATGTATTTTTTATCACCTGCTGGTATTCGGCTTGTTATGGGCAATCCTTTTATTAATTTATACACCTGTTTTTGCCACCTTTTAGTAATTATAATTAACATTCGCTGCAATTAATGATTTATTGGGTAACTTGGATAGTGTTTCATTCTGTGACTCCGTGACATGCGATCTGAACGATTTTAGAAACCTATTACCTACCTTTTATCCGTGTATCAATATATTATCGCAAAACATACGTAGTGTAAACGCAAATTTCTTGGAACTCTTGACTTTATTAACGAGACTAGAGATATCTGTGGACCTTATTGTGCTGTCTGAATGCTGGCTTTCATGCAACCCGGACATTCCCCAACTCGACGGGTATGTCGCACACAAAACTTTATTAGTACATAACAAAAATGATGGGGTCATTGTTTACATTAAGTCAACTTTGTCTAATATTAAAGTAAGTGAACCGGGTCTGTCAGACGCGAGTAGTTTATTAATCACTGTGGGCTCGGAATTAGCCATAATTGCAATTTATAGACCACACGCCTTTAAAGACCCTACTATATTTTTGCAATCCTTGGACTGCCTTCTTAGTAATATTAAACGTTATAGAAACATTATTCTTGTGGGAGACATTAATATCGACATTGCCCAAGGTCACGTATCTTCGTACATAATTGATTATTTCGATACTCTTGCTCAATATGGTCTTTTCCTGGGGCACGACCTTCCAACTCACGGTTCTACATGCCTTGACCACATAAACTTGAAGACCATATTACCCTGTAAAGTATTTGTATTAGAAACTACTGTTACAGATCACTTCGCAGTGTTACTCACCTTGTCCCTAAAATTGGCTACCCATAAAGTATGTTCCACGTTTACTAGAATCGATGAAAACAATCTTTCCGATAACCTTCGTAGCATCAACTTTGCGTCTGTCTATGAAGCTAAAGATCCCGATTTAGCAATGAAACTATTCATTGAGCCTATTCTCTCTGCCTTAGCGCGAAATACAAAAATTTTCAAGTCGTCTCGTAGGCGACGCCCTATTAAACCATGGATTACCCCGGGGCTACTCAAGTGTATTCGACATAGGGATAACTTATACAAAAAAATAAAAAAACAACCAACGAATGAAATATTGTCTATTAGTTATAAACGATACCGCAATTACTGCACAAATATATTAAGAAAGGCTAAAAGAGATTACGAGAGGTTGGAATTTAAGAAAGCTGGCAACAACTGTAAGCAATTATGGCAGGTGATTCGAACTGCCACTAATAGAAGTATTCCTAAATCGAGCGCGATAGACCTAATTGAGACTGGTAAAGATTATCAGCAGTCAATAAACAGCATTAACACCTATTTCGCAGGTATAGGTAGGCAACTTGCAGAGAGCATACACAGGGATTCTTCCTCTTCTTCTACTAACGTCCAATTCAACTCCAAGGAATCTTTTGTCCTACTTGAAACTGACGAATGTGAGGTGGAACGGTTGATTATGTCTCTAAAAATCAACTGTGCAGTAGGATGGGACGGTATATCATCCGGCTTTTTAAAGAAATACAGGACCATTCTCGTTACCCCACTCACATATATTTTCAATCTGAGCATTACAACAGGCAAATTTCCGGTGTCCTTTAAGAGAGCGCTCCTCCATCCAATTCACAAATCAGGCGATCGAGGCTGTGTGGAAAACTATAGACCCATTTCGGTACTACCAGCAATGTCAAAAATTTTAGAAAAAATTATTAACTCTAGGCTTATTAATTATTTAGAAAATCGTAACCTACTATCTGTTAACCAATTTGGTTTCAGAAAGAATCTATCCTCCGAAGATGCTGTACACAATCTGGTGGACTCTATAGTCAGAAAACTTGACAAGGGTCAGAAATGCGTTGCATTATTTTTAGATCTCGCAAAGGCTTTCGACACGGTCTCGACAAAAATACTTGTGAATAGGCTTGAATCTTTAGGTATTAGAGGGACTCAACTGTCTCTGTTTCGTAGTTATCTGACGGGCAGATCACAGTTAGTAAAAATCGGTTCTTGTACTAGTACTGAAACGCCCATAACCTACGGCGTGCCCCAAGGGAGCATTCTGGGCCCAAGTTTATTTCTGGTTTATATAAATGATTTGTGCAATATTGGACTTGACCAGGGAGCAATTTTCGCGTATGCTGATGATACTGCACTGGTTTTCTCATCAGATGATTGGAGGGATACATACCGTTTCGCTCAAAAGGGTTTCGATGTGGTTAATAATTGGCTAAGAAATAATCTACTTACGATAAACAATACCAAAACCAAAGTAGTTGACTTCTTTATCCGATCCCCTAATACGTTAGATACTTCCCTACAAATAACCTTTAACCTACCTGATAATGCTCCTTGTAGTGACTCTTATTTCATAGAAAAAGTTACTTCTATTAAACATCTAGGTATCTATATTGATAATAACCTAACTTTCAAAAATCATATTAATTATATCTCAAGTAGAGTACGCAAACTTATCTATATGTTTAAAGAACTTCGACACTCTGCTGATGCTCATGTAATGAAAATGGTCTATACAGGTCTATGTCAATCTATCTTAAATTATTGCATTACCACATGGGGGCATGGGGGTGCAGCTAAATCTCACACCTTGCAGATTGAACGTGCCCAAAGAGCTGTGTTAAAGGTTTGCTGTTTCAAGCCTCGGCTGTACCCTACTAAAAGGCTTTATGAAATTTGCCAGGTTCTCACAGTGAGGCAACTGTTTGTGAAAGCTACCGTTCTCAGACAGCACTCTCAAACTTATTACACCTCTGATAATACTCGCCGTAACCGTTTGGAGGTCGCATCATTGCATGTTAAAAGTTCATTTAGCCGTAGGTTCTTTATTTTTCTAGGGCCCTACTTGTATAAAAAGTTGCACAAAATTTTGTCCCTACATAGTCTTAATACGTACCAATGTAAAGCCATCATCTCAGAATGGCTCTTAAAGCAATCATATAAAGAGACGGAGGACCTATTATTGATCTTACAGTGACACACTGGCGCATCCATTCCATATCAAACACTAACACATGCATTGTACATAAATCTTACAGAAACTGGGGTGCGCACATATGTAAGTCTAGTGGATATGTCATATGACTGATCCGATCCCAAGACCATGTCGTAGGGCTTGCAGACATAACGCATATACTCCTTCACAACTCCAATCTCACTACAAACACAAACATACATAAACACACACACACACACACACACACACACACACACACACACACATACACACACACACACACACACCCTGTTTTTGTTAATGTTATAATTATTACTACTCCCGCTCGTTTCTTTTTCTTTTTTTTTTCTTAAATTTTGTACTCTTGCACAACTATATTGTAACCACCTCACAAAGGTATTTTGAATTGTCAAGACGAGGTCCGAGTGGGGACCTGGTGTCCTGTAACACAGGTTTTTATACCTACCTCAGGCACCAGCTATCCACTACCGAAATTGTCAAATGTTATAGCGTAATCGTATTTTCATTGTATGTATTTTGGTTTTGGTGAGAAAATAAACGATATTATTATTATTATTATTATTATTATTTCACTTTTCATTTTACAATCATTTGTTGTTATTTCTATGCAAGTATTAGAAAGCAAAATGGGGTATGGGCTCTTGAACCTTTTAAGCTTAAGCTCTACAGTTCTAACTTTTAGTATGTGTTTATTTTAAAATAGTCCTGTCTATCAGGATTATAGGCTAGTTTAAATCAGTTAGAGAATCACTTCTTAGTTCTAAAAAGACTAAAGCTAATATAATAGTGTAGCTTAAGATATCCAGCTTAGCTTGTAGCTATCAAACTATGGTCTCATATATTTACATACTCCTTTTAAACCATTAAAAAACCCTCTACTGCCTGTAATAGTCCACTACTGTACATAGGCCTCTTCTTAGAAAAGAGGTTTTTGCCTAATATACCACTCTAGCCAGACGGGTTGCTTGGTTTGGCAGGTTTGTGTCAAGTCCTCCTACTCTTTGCAGTGCTGCTGTCCTGCGTAATGTGCACCCTTAATCGGCTCTTACGATACACACGGGATGAATAGGGGTAGTGGCACTTCGTATTCTTAACTCGTCACTATACATACCTTTTAAAGAATAGTTTCTCCCAAACAACGAATTGAAATTTTAAACAAAGGTGTATAATAACCAAATTTTTGAAAAAAAACATTAAAATTTTACGCTCTTACTGTTTGATATAGAAGTAGTAAATAATTTACATATCGATACGTGTTTATTTTACGTTTTTGACGTTACTGGGATAGCAGGACTCTTCACGAAACCATATCAGTTAACAGGCAAACAAACCTATGACCGATGTAAAGTATAAAAGTACTGAAGTTCTAAAGGGACAAACTTCTATAATAGGGATTTGTAAGATCCGGTTTGTTACAGAGTAGATCTGAACTGTATGTCATCAAAGAGTTTCATTTAATGTTGTGGATTATAGAAACGTTTCGCCTGTTCAATAGATGGCACTAGTAGCGGCTTCTAACCTTCTTATTAATCTTTGTTGCATAGAATACAACACAAAGAGAATGAGACACTTGTTACATGTACAGATATGTCATAAAACCAAATTTGAGTAGAACTCTATTGGTTGAATAAATATTTATACATTTTGTACTTTTTTGAATGAAGTAATAAAATAGTCCTTTGTTTTTCAATGCAACTGATAGATCGTGACTGTATATAGAGTTAATATAAACTCTACTATTGCACGTTCCGAGATTATAATATTATAAAATACAAATAGAAACAGCAGTTCATTCCAGAACTTTGGCACTTAATCGATTAATGCTTAATTATATCTATACAGAACTGGATATCAGTTCAAAATCAATCGCTATCAATCAAATAATTAGTAAACTAGTTGTCTACAACGCTGGAATAGATATCCTCATGCAAGTTGTGCCTACAAGAAACTAGTTTGACAAGTGCAACCTTTCATTTATAATGTACATCATCTCTTATTAACGTGTTACTGCGTTTGCTAACAATTATATCAATTAGAAATTAATAGATGTGCAGAGTTAGGTCACGTTAACAGCGTTGCATAAGTCGGTGCATCTGCTTGACATTTGAATCGACCCCGAATCCGAATAGAAACTGTGTCAGGTACTAAGCGGCGAGCCGCGGCCACCGGCTACAGTAGCGGTGCGGGGTGGCGTCGGAGGTACGTTGTGCAATCCCGTTAGCACTCCACGTGCGAACCGAACCGGCGCGCCTCAATGTCGCCCGTGGGCGGCTGCCCTCCGCCCGCCCGCCGCCGCTGAAAATAGCGAGCCCGCCCGAACTTTACCCGAGTGGCGAGGGCGGCCGAGCATCTATCCAGCTCTGGCGCGCGGCCATTGACTTGGTCGTCTCGCTCGCGCGAACAGCTGAGTATCAAAACAAAGGAGCGAGACGGGCGGTCGCCGCTCCCGCTCGCCGGCCGGCCGGTGTCGCCGGTTGCGCCGCGCCACACGCACTCATGCCAGTTCGTTTTCGAACCGCGCTTATTGAGGTCGTCCGCTGCGAGCTCGATTGCGAACTTAGTACCGCGAAAGGATTTTCCTTTGTCCCGATCCTCGAGGACCCTGTCATCGTATTATGTTTCCGCGCGAGAGCTGCGATCAGCCCCGCCCTATTGAGGAGCCGGATCACGCGCAGCGTGCTGAATCGCGACGAAGTTTTGTCAGTTTTCCGAAATTCTGTGACGGTTATCCCGCGAAACGCGTACGCCGAGCGATTTGAAATTTTTAAGTGAACGTGTGAGAGTAGAATTTCAGCAAGTGCCACCGGACAGTGGTGAGGCACAAGTGTTATATAGAGTGAGGACTAACAGCATCATGTCCACGGGCAAGCGGCTAGCGAAGCGTTCCATTATCGGGACGCGCGTTGCCGCTCTGGCTGAAGACGGGCTCTACTACTCTGGGATGATCCAGGCGGTTAAGACGCCGGCACCCTTCCCTGAAAATAACAACTGTATTAATCTGACACCGAATACCCGTTACACGGTGCGTTTCGACGGAGGTAAGATGTCGTGCGAATACCGCGACACAGAGCTCATCGGGCCCGGCTTTCGTGGCATGACGGGTGTGCGCCTACGACATGGCCAGCGCGTCTTCCTTACGCACAACGGACGTGAAGTTCGCGCTGACGTGCAGCAGCACGACCACCACACAGATGAATTAAGGGTCCAAGTTCACACACCAGGTGCTGAGGTACGTCTCAACTTCTATACTGTTCACATATATGCTGTTTCAGTTATGCTGCTTAGTAGCTTAACGCTTTAAGGTCCTGCACTTAATGGATAGAAGTGCGTTGAAGTCTTTTAGAATGTCCTTGCAAAAGACATCAACGACGTACCTGTAATTAAATACGAGGCTTCGTGGAAGAGTGTCAAAAGGTACTACTTAGTGTACTTTTTACTTGGACAAGAATGCAATCCATATAAGCCAGGTTTACTATATGGTTAAGAGATTGATTATTCTAGATGTGAAAATAATGGACTGGACTGGAATGTTTGTTATTTTACCCGTATATGGGTGTTTGTAGTTGGGGCAATACGGGACGGTTGTGTTGTGCAGCTCAACGCAGGCGGTGTGCACTGAACAGAGCTGTTGACCTCGCTCCACGTGCATCTTGCTCGTGCACTCGGTGCAGCGAGCCTTCGCTCCACGCGTTGCACTACACGACCGCATATAGCATATACAATTAAATCATGAGCATGATAGGACTACACGTTTCCCAGAGCAGAAATAACATTACTGGTTCGGGTTATTGTCTTTACAGTATAGGCTCGTATTTACGATACTTGTAATCCACTCTAATGTAGCATGACATGGTTATGATTTTAGTATTGAGTCTGTGTCGTCATAGATAATATTGCTCTTAAACTTTTATTTGCCAAGTATAATTATACATTATAATAGTTTTTTTTATTAATATTATTAAAAAGTAAAAAAAAAAATCTTTGATGTTTGATGTACATGCACGTTCCAGGGACACGGGTTAGATCCCTCTCAATTGTAAACTTTATATATTTTTGTGATTAGCACATACTTTTAAGCCTGGAATAGGAATTTAAAAATTCCATTGTTCCATGCGACTTAATCATTATCATTCATACAAAGAGATTTGGGGGGGGGGGCTTAAACTCAAGGACAAAGATAGCTATGTCGCAATTTAATATTTTAGTGAATACTTGAAGGTGACGGTGCTTATCATTTGATTATTAATATGCATTTGTATCGTTCTACAATAGTTTAGATTAGATTACACGAGGTCATGCTGCGATACAAATACGCATAGATCTCGGTAGCGCCAGATAAAGAGCTACACGTGTCGCTGCGTACTGCGTTACACTTGCTGGAAACGCAAACGTCTTAACCGTAGACGAACACAATAATGCGTGGTACATGTTGGCGTCGTTAGAATTGCACATGTACCATTTGTACATCAACTATTACGAATATTAAACATAACTATCATTTCAATTTAATTGTTTTCACGCAAGCTGTGCACAAACTTTGACACAATATAGATAAAACGGGCTAATTTGTTTTCTATTGTCGTATACAGAAATAAACAAGCCTGACCCCTAGTGCAAGATGTTGTATAGCACCGCTAAGCCTAGTTTCCTGCGCCACGCAATATATTGCCAATAATGATTGTTGTAATTATAAAAATAATAATCACCAAGCTGCGAAATGCTGAATACCAGTACGTAGTCTTTTTTTTTTTACGTGTGGAGCCGGTCGGCGCGCGTTTTTAACAATGCGTCTTCATCACTAAGCTTATCACCAATTAATTTATAAACAAAACAAAATGCATGTTTATATTATCTAACTGATAATTAGGTGCAGTCCCAGCTCAATACTTTAATCTCTCTAATTCTCCACAAATGGTAATAGCTCGTTCCACGGTTGACTTTAATCTTGTTCATTAAGATATATGATCTGTAGAGTTACTTACTCACATTCCCCTCTCATGCAGCATTAAACTCTTTTTATGATACACAAAACTAAAACTGTCATCGAACTTTAAATATATGTTTGTCAAACAGAAGAAGTTGGCTAAATAAAGATTTCTGTGTCATACTCTTGCTTTTCTTCGTCACTTTTCACTCTAACAATTCTATGACGTATCATGATTATCTCTTTACTTTCTCTAAGATTTACACATGTGTAGTCGGGGTTAAGAACTTTTAAATTTGAAAATGCTATCTCTAGAACCTAACCAGTCGTATTACAATTTTGATAATTTATTCAGAATAGAGCACATTCGTTGAGAAAGGTTATATATATATAAATGAATTAACGTTTGTTAGTCTCACAAAAACTCGCACATTCGTCGTCGTTAGAGCACATTCGTTGAGGAAGGTTATAGTTTATATCACATCACACTAAATGTGGCGTAGTAACCTTACAAATCCATATCTTGCGGATGAAGCAGTGTGACACAGTTGAATAAAATATAAAATATTGCTAAAAAGTTAATAACATTGCTAAACTTAAGTTCTTTTATGCACGCAGCGACGGCAAACCAGATTGACAGAACCAGTTTCATGTCATTAAATAAACAAAATTATACGATAACACATTTAGCTGTATCGTCAGCACCATTAACGGGACTGTAAAACAAAGGGAATAAAACGATTACTCATTAATGGTATTGACAAGTCATCGAGTAACCGTAAAAACAAAACAACAACTTCTATGGCTGTTTTCTCTAGAACTAGAAAGTAATGGCGCAGTGATGTTACAATAACAATAAGGAAGTGCGCGGGCGCAGGCCTTGTGCCGTTGTGCGTAAATATGACGTAGCACGCGATACTATCGTGACGCGAGCCGCAAGCTCTGTCACCTTAGCTAATTCATAGGTATGATAGCCCCTGCTTACGATCTATCATTTGTTCACACAAAACATGCAAACAGGTGTATCTCAATAACATATTTACTGTTTAGTGAATTGATTCTTAATTTAAATTGAGAACTATCTAGCAGCAGCAAATATTAAACAAGAATCACAACAAAGTACGTTACAGTAAACGGCTATACACACTTGTTTACTAGTTGGAATGTAGGTGTATTGTGCCATTAATATTATCCATTTATATCAAACATTTTTTGCGTCACTACACGATAGATAGAGCGACGCTTTTCATGAAAACAACTTAGCGATAACAAGTGTTGTCGTCGCTTGTATTAAATATTATTTTATAAGAAGTGACGGAGAAACCCAAATAAAGTAATGTTCAATGTTTAGATACAAATGAAATAATGAGCGGTATTTCCCAGGTACATCTTCGTGCTAACGAACGTCATTCTCGACAAACCTGCTCTACATGTAACCAATCCGACATACGATTAATACCTCTCGCTGACTCATTGCAGCGACCGCGGCGATCGTTCGTAAACAACTATTATTTTACCGGCATACCCGGACAGAGAACGATTGCGTAATCGACAAATAACAGCATATTAACTCAAATAACGACCGGTATCTTATATTCTAATACGTTCACCAAACACACACAAAGAGGGATTAAATGAAATATTACAATAGCGTGTCACAAAATGTTCATTGTTACTTTAAAAATAACATAAAGGCATAAATGTTAGTTGTTAAACTCTGGCATCGTAACGTAAGGCAATAAGATATAAAAATAAAGAGTGCTCGGCCGAGAAATAAGGTCACCAGCAGGCCCGGAACCGAGTAACGGTGTCTGTTACAAAATCGCGTCAAGAATTATTTTCACGTGCGCGCGGCGCCGACAGTCATACCGTTAGCCGATGGCGGTGGCGGCTCAGCACCGGCTAACCTTACCGCAGGATTGTCCGCCCGTAAGTGGAACACCGTCGTTAATAGCCAACGGAATTACAATCGCCAGAAGATATCTTTGAAGCCAAACCCTTTGAATATTCATTTTGCAGGAAATATCAAAACACAATATTCTATCTGAATTTAATAAATGTATAGAATTACGTAACTGTATTCTGATTTCCCCTATATCGGTAACCGGCAGAACGCCTTTCGTTTGCGGAGGTCGTAAATGTACGTTCGTAGCGAGTTGGTGGTGTGGCAGCGGGCCGGCCCACAAAGCCTTACCGCGGCCGCTTACCGAATACAGGCAGCTATGGTGTGAAAGTGCCGCTTACACCTGCATTGTCCATGTAAAGCGACAGTTTCAGATTCACTTTAGCTGCACTATGAACTACATAAACTATTGTGACAACTGTGTCATCACGTTTTCACGTCATTCTGAAATATGTAAATCGGTTTTCCACTGCACAAAAATGCACCAGTTTGGAGCACAATCGATATAATTTAAGGATAAATCAATTACCGGTTTGTTATTTTTACTATTTTGTGATTAGGTCACGATAATAGTATTGCCTTCATTTACTTCCTATCAATTAAATGAAACTAGTACCTTAGCAAACTGTACTGATTAGTTTGCCATTTTGAAGTAGATAGATAGACGTATATTAAAATTAAAGTCATTTGAACATTAGTAATTTATTACAGGCAGTATAATTTACATTAACTTAAAATTGCATGCTATATAGCAAAATATCATTGTAAAGGCAACCTATCGCGCGTGGCCGAACGATGTAAAATATGTAGTAACATGTATCGGTTGGCGGTAGCAGCAGGTTGTAATAACTTGCGAACATTGCATTAATATCGCATAACTAATAAAAGAGCGAAAGTAGTTACGATTTAAAAGCATTTTATAAATGCATTTTCCAGATTTAAGATTTTTTTCGATGGAACGAAGACACTTACGATCATGAGGCCTACCGTTGCGTGGAGAAGTCGCGTGCTTGATGTAAATTTCACTTAATAGTAAAATGTTTTCCTTGTTGAACCTTCTTATTTGATTTTCTATAATCATATCATAAGAATATCCATAATTGTTTAATTTAAAATAAACATTGTTTGTATCTTAAAATACGATAACCGAGAAATTAGGCTAACAACACTTCACCATCCAGACGAGGGATTTGCCAGAACTCTCATTTTTTACCTTTGGAATTACAATTATGTATTTTGGTATTACTGCATGAACTCTACTGAAATAACTCTTGAGTAGCCTTTTTATCAGCCGCTATAACAAAACAAAATTGCTTTTTAATTCTATATAATATATCACACGTTTTTCTAGACAAAACTCGTTTCAATAAAGCAATATAAGTTTTGGTTAGGTACTCGTCGT